ACCCGAGCACATGCGGCGGCATACGTACCGACGCTTCACTGGTGAATACGTTTCCTCACTATCACTACTCGAATGATCGTCAAGAGCAATAAAATCCCCAAACCACGTCACTATCATCATCATTACTGAAGTCAGAGGCCTGGGCCCCACGAAAATAATAGCTTTCTCTTGCGTTGAGGTACAACCGACCGTGACTGACGAGTGCCACACCAGAGGTAGAAGGTTGAGGATCGTAAAGGGGTTTTTTGCCCCTATTATCGATATCCTGGTCATTCCTTTCGGTCACTAACTGATCAGAGCCAAAGAATTCGTCTTCATTTCCACTTCCCTCACTGTCGAACTATCAGATAGGAACAGGGAGGCCCAATTTTCCTTGGAGTGAGAGCTGCCTTGCGACGAGGCATGGTGAACAAGGGTAACTGAGCCGGGTGTTGCCCAATGCATGCGGGAAACCTGGGTTTTTTTGTTTAGGGGCGCACACCCCCCAAACCCCCCCCTGATAACTGCAACAAAAACCCCCAGGGGCAAAACAAAAGGCAAAAATTCACTGTTCAATATCCCTTATCCCATCTTTGCCTATAAAAAAATTGCTGTGCACATGGGGGGGCCCAAAAGGGATCGGAAATTTTCATTGCCAAAAACCCAAATAAAATTTTAAGGGCCCCTACTTAAAAATCACCTTTTTTTCTTTTTTTTCAAAAAAACCCGGGCCCTTTACCCACCGAGGCAGGGGTGGGCCCAAAAAAGAAAAAAAAAAATTTTCCCCTTTTTTAAAATTTTGAAAATTTTAAAAGGAAAAAAGGGGTTACTACCCCTTGCCCCCGGCATTTTACCCGCCTTTTACAACACACAGGGGGTTTACGGGGGAAAAATTCTGTTCCACCCCCCAATGGAGAAAAACAGGAAATAAAAAAAAAACCAAAAAACTAAAAGAAAATGGGAAGGGAAAACCCGAGAGGTGTGTATATATATAGGGCTTTTTTACATGTATGAGTAGGGGTTTGCCCCTAAGGGTAAGTAGAAGTAGCAAAAAGGTCCCCTGAAATCTTGCATGTTTATGAAACAAAAAAAAAGACACCAGCATCCTACCATCATTTTAAAACAATTACGGGCTTTTCATTTTTTACATCCCGGCAAGACGGTAGTAACCCCCCTGGGGGGTTTTGCTGTCTCCCCCAATTTACTACCTCCCAAAAAATTTCACCTTATAAACCCAAATTTTTAACCACACAAACACTTTTATTTAAAACCCCCTACAGATTACTCAAAAAAAACTCCCAAGGGGGAAAGAGAAAGGAGGTCTTTTAATGTTATTATGCTAATTGCCGTAGTGCTAGGAATAAGATGGACGGGGTTGGATTTGTTGCTAGGGGAAGGGAACATTGATGTATTTGCCTTAACTGAGACGTGGTTTTAAAATTTAAAAAGGGCGGGACATTCCTGCGGAATTTTCAAAAATTTTAGGGTTTTAAAAATTTTTCCCCCGAAAAATTTGAAAATTAAATTGGGGGGGGGGGGTGGGTTTGGGATTGGTTTCGTCCGAATCGCTTTTGGGAAATGTTGTTAAAAAAAAACGGGTATTAAAATCTTTAAGTAACAAAATACAGAGTCGTTTGGGAAAAGAAAATTTTTAGGGGGGGCAAAGAAAAAATGATTTTAGGGGTGATATACCTTTCCCCCAAACTTAGATAGGGAACCCAAGGGGAAAAAATACTATGGGGGGGGAAATTTTTTTAAGGCCACCCAAAGGGACGATAAAGTAGTAATTCTAGGAGGGGCTTTAACTTTAGTATGTTTATTTTGGGAATTTTTTTGACTGGGGAAATTTTGAATCGTACGAAAAAAATTTTTTTTAGAAGTATTTCAGGATTGGTTTTTTTAAAAACAGTTTGTGACAGGGAAACCTTTCAAAGGGGGAAAAAACCTGCTTTACTTAGTTATGGCCAAAAAAATGAAACCCTTGTTAATTTAAATTTAAAAAATTTCAGGGAAACTGGGTGTACGACCACAAAACAATTACATTTAATCCATTTAATGGAATACGATATTTGGGGATAAAATCGTAACATCCCAGAATTTTTGCTTAGAGATTACGATGGGCCCTTTAAAAAACACTTAACATTGTTGACTGGGGGGGGAAAGAAAAGAGTAATCCCAAAATGACGGGTTTTTTTAACACTATACATGCTGCTCAAAGAGCGTTTTTTTCCCATAAAAAGAAATTAGATCAAATAAAAGACCCAAAATGGATGAAAAATGGTCAAAATCTAATAGGGCATAAAAAAGGAATTTATAGGCGTATCAAAAGAGGTGGGGGTCTCTTATGAATCAGTATATTGACATTAAAGGGACTTTAAAAAAGGGGATAAAAAAAGCAAAAAGGGGGACTATAAAAATTAAAAAGTTGCTGGGGTTCAAAAACAAACCCAAAAAAGTTTTTTCCAGGTCTATAGAACAAAAGTTAGAGAAAGATAGGTCCCTTAAAATAATTTGGGGCACCTTCTGACAATGAGAATGAAATGTGCTTGATTTTAAAAAATTTATTTTCTCTCAGTTTTTACACGGGAAAGACACTAAAAATTTTCCCAGAAATTTAATTTTTACAGTGGGCTAGAAGAAGATAAATTATGTAACATCACAGTCCTAGTGAGGGGTTTTGTGAGGGATAGACAGACTGAAGCAAAATAAGCCCCCGGGTCCTGTGAGGTTTTTTCAAGGGTTCTTAAGGAAGCAAAATGGAACTCTGTGAACCATTAACAATATTTTAAATTTATTCTTAAAACGGTTGAGTGTCTGATATGTGGAAGATGGCAAAGTAACTCCTTTTTTTTTAAAAACAGGGGACAAGTCTTTACGTCAAATTACCGCCCAAAAGCCTGACCTAAATTGTGGGCAAATTACTAGAGTAAATTATAGCGGATTAAAAGAAGCCATCTCGAAAGCATGCTTGATAATGATATCAGCATGGATTCACAAGAGGCCGGTCTTGTCTAACTAATTTATTAACTTTTTCAGTAAAGCTTTTGAGGTGTTGACCACAAAAAAGAATTTGTTTATTATTTACTTAGTTTTATAGGCTTTTGATAGAGTTCGCACCATAGACTTTAAAGAAAGTGGCAGCCCAGGGGCTTTGGGGGGAAAAGGGCTCTCGGGATCGAGTCATGGCCCCTGACAGGAAGCAGAAGTGTCCATAAAGGGGGTTAAATCCGAGGGGGATCTGTAACAAGTGGCGTTCCAAGGGATCAGTCTTGGGCCCCGTTGTTTTTTTAAAATTTTAATCAATGATCTTGTGGGGGAAAATTACTGTGATATGAGCAAATTCCCCCGATGACCAAGATGGGTAGGTATTGATTCAAACGTAGATGTTAGGGAAATTCAGGAGGACTTAAACAAACCTATTTTTGGTCAGAAAATGGCAGGCAGTTCAAGTAGAAAAGTGAAGGTTCTAAAATTGGGAGTGCCCAAAACCCTAGTACTTATAAATTAAAGATGTAAAACTTAGCCATACAGATTGCGAAAAGGATTTGGGGGTTTTATGGTGGCACAACCTTTAAACCAAGACAGCAATCCTAAGCGTACTAATAAGGCAAATAGTTATGGGGTTTTATCAAGAAGTGTAAGCAAAAGAAGTCCAGAGGGCTACTGCACTTTTTACTCATTAGTAAGGCCCACCTTGATTTTGCAGCCAGTTTGGTCTCCGTATTACAAAAGGACATAATTCGTTAGAAAACATTCAGGTAGGGTACTAAATTAATACATAGCATCGAAAACTTCCTTTGAAGAAAAATTGAAAACTCTTAAGTTACATTCACTTGTTAGACGAAAAAAAGGGGGGAACCTGATCGAAGTGATAATGGGAAAAAGGTATTAATTTTAAAAGGGGGTTTAAAAAGGGTTTGGGATGTCTCTCCAAGAGAACCCCCAGTTGGATTTAAATTAGATAAGTTTAGATTTAGAAAGGACATAGGAAAGTTTTGGTTTGGAAATAGGGGAGTTGATGAGTGGAACAGTCACCCGTTTGGGGTTATTTAGGCTAGGACTTTTGGGGAGTTTCAAATCTAGGTTGGATAATTTAAAGAGTGGGGAAGGTTGGATTTGAGTGGGACTTTCACATCAGAGCTTTTTTGGGGAGCATTGAAATTTGGGGTTTGGGGAAATGTTTTGTTAGTGGGGGGAATTGTAAAGGGTGCCTATATGGGGGCCCGAGGCCTCCTCAGTTTCCCCCTTTTTTATGTTCTTATGTAGTTAAATGCATAAGTGGTACCTTAGTTATGAACTTAATTCTTCCCGAGGATTTCGGGGGCGTTACCGAACGAATTTGTTCCCCTAAAAAATAATGTAAATTAGATTAGTCCATTTTGTCCCCCCAAAAATAATTAGAAAAACCTTACAAAAAACACTTACATAATTGTTCGGTTTTGGGGCGCTCGAAAAATCAAGGTACCCCATTTGTGCTTAACTTTTTATTACATGTAAATACACATTTTTATACTGTGCAAAGAAATAAAAATTTTGAATTTTGAATGAAGTCCAGAGTGAATTTTTCCAGTGTTTTCCTCCTGAATTTCAGTTTAATAATGAAGTGCTGTCGTCTTCACACACAAAAGAGGGGAAAGAGAGCTCGAGGGGTAATATTGAGTAACACATTTGTCTTTTATTCTCTAAAACACATATCCTTTTGAAGATTTTTAACCCGTAAAAAAGGCCCCAAATGTATAAGTTCTCACCCTAGTCCCCAAATTTTTTAAAAAAAAAACCCTTTTTTTAAAAAAGACTATGGACCCCGACCCCCCCTTATTTTAATATGGAACAGGGTGTGCCACCCATTTCTTTCATGTCTAGGTCACTCAGGCTTATCGTGGCAATGTTGAATGTATGACAAATAAAACGTATATATACGTTTGGGGCACTAGCGGTAAAAACGTATATATACGTTTGGACCGTTTACAGGTTAAGAGGCCATGAGTGTTTTTTGCTCTAATTAGTGTTAATCTCCACAGCCCCGACATCAGACCGCCTGCACAGACCAGTTTGTTTGGTGAAACAGCTAGACTTCTCTCAGCCATCCCTTCCTCTTCTGCCTGGTACTTCAGGCAGTTCCTCCACTACACCTTCAGTGTCATCACCCACACTCACTTCCCCGGTTTTCCTGGGGACCTCTACATCAGCGTCTCTACAAGGTAGCCAGCAGCTAAGTGCAGGACCCACTTTGAAAGCTCTCCCTGTAGTAGCCTCTTCGTCTACCTCTGTTGTGTCCGAATCGACATCGTCGCATGTGGTGGCAAAGGCAGAAAATTTTGTAACGTCTTCCATATTAACAAGACCTTCGGTGGCAACTTGTGGCAGTATACCCTCCCCACAGGGGTTTGCATCCTTGTGTTCTCCAGCACCAGAGGAAGATACAGGTCCTTCAAGGGACTCCCCTCCTCCAGAGAGTGCAAGTGCCCTTGCTCTTAAAAGTGAGGGGTTTTGTTCAACTAGTTTTGCGGGAACTTCTTCCGCTACTTCTAGCACTGTTGAGGAGCGGCCGTGTGATCACGACCGCTTGATGGAGGCGTCAACAGTGCCGCCCCCCTCAACCCGCGATCCACCCGGCCTCCGCCCCCAAGATCCCCCCAAGACCTGCATGGAGGAGGTGGCAGGGGGAGGCAGGCTGGCCCTCACTCCAACCAACAACAACAACACCACTACCACCAATAATAACAACAACAACATTACCAACAGCGTCACTACAACAACTACTAGCTCTAGTAATACCAGTAATAACAACAACAACAACACCAGATCTATTAACCACAGTCCACACAAAACTCTCACCTCTCTAGGCTCTTCTATCAAGACCACAGAGAACACAGGACTAGGCTGTTTTGGCTACAAAGCCGAAGACGAGGCGGGTCTAATTCGGCCGGCAGCCATTACTGAAGTACGCTCTAGTGAAGCAAGGTTTGACCTGCCACACTCCTACACTACACTCGACCTGGACCGTCAGGCAGCCATCCCCGTCTCACAGCCACACATGCCTCCCACCCCCACCACCTTCGACACAACCACCGTAGCCGGTGGTGGATCTATACAAGGAGGGTCTATCACTCCCATGACCCCAGCTCCTGGTCCTCTTGTGAGTGGTAATGGTCCCCTACTCCCACACGGTCCCTTCGACACACTCAAGCCACCAGTGTCATCAGAGTACCCCATCACCACCACTCACAACAGTTTCTTCATGAATAAGGCGTGTGGAGCAGAGGTGAAGTTGAACGACACTACACCTTGTTCTGTTGCTTGCATGCCACCAGTTCCGCCAAACTCCATGTACCAAAGGTCAGTTTTAAAGCCCGGTTTCCCACTGTCTTGCCAACTTACAAATGCTCCAAATCACATACATTCAGGCTAATGAAGGAAACACTTAGGAACCAATCAAATTTAAGAACTGCCTCTTTTGTAAACAATCTGCTGTACAGTGTCCAATCTGCAATACAAGCATGTGTGAAACATGTGTTTGTGTCATTGTTTTCTAAATAAATGACTAGGAACCAATCAAATTTAAGAACTAGTCAGAATTTAACAACCTCCAGTCTGCAGTACAAACATGTGTGAAACACAACTGTCATTTTTATCATTGTTTTCTGAGTATATAACTTGTTTGTAAGTTGAAACACCAGAAATGCAGCTCATTTGTAAGTTGGGGACTTGTAATGTTTATTTTAATAATTATACACAAATAACCCACATACAGGAGAAACTTGTGACGACGTTTTGGTCAGACTAGGACCATTAAAGTGTGTGACTAAAGGTCCAAGTCGAGCTGAAACATCATCACAAGTTTCTTAATCCTCTGTTCAGGTTATTTGTGTATTGTGTCATTTTATTCTTAGATTACTGTCATTGTGCACTAGGAAGCTGATAAAGAAATCCTTGATTTTTTCTAAGCTAGACTACTGAGACCAAGTAGTTTATCATCATCTAATATTTTTCATTAAAATGTCATTAGTTATCAAGGTTTATGTCTGTGTCTAGGGGCGTGTCAGTCTTCCCAGACGAGAGCTTGTATACAAAAGCAGCTCTTCGTAGGATCAATGACATGTTCACGTTATTATTTTAGTTACTTTCATGACCTTTAAGATCCTTTTATGTCCAGAATAATCACAGAGATCAGTAACATTAATTCATTTAAAAAATAATATCCTCATTGTGGCCCTTCAATCTCTATATTTAAACTCTAGAAATATCTCTTAAATTATTACCCTTCTCCTCCATTTGTCTTTCCTGTATCATACATTTCTGTCCATTGGGAAGTTCCGATTATTCTTGTTGCTTCTCCCTTTCTATGCATGAATGCTATTGTATATCTACGAACTCATGTTTGCTTTTCTTTGAACATTTTCAATCGCATATTCTTGCTACTGCATTGTACACTGGTGGTTCCACATTCCCAGATGGAATGGGGTATGTGGTTGTTTTCTTCCGGATAGTAGTTCAAGACTTATGTTCTAAAGTCAGTCGGCAGTGCTATAGACAATACTCACCGTTATCTTATACATTTACAGCTATGATCACATCTTTGTTGTTTCAAAGCTCCCAAAGTATAATAATAATAATATATGTACATTTCCTTGCAAAGCTTACATTGTATGGTTTACATATTATAAAATATTAATTACAAGGAAGGCCTCTAGCATGCCTAGGCATTTCGGGAAGACTAATTCTTATTCTTACCCTTTGTTGACAAATACATTACAAACTTTCCAGAAATTTGACTCCCCACATCGTATTATACTAAATATACAACAGTAGCAGTGTTGCATTTCTAATAAATACAAAGAAGTGGTTTTATGGTGGGTTCATGAGCAAGCACATTCGTCTACTCAATCTACTATTCTCTCTGTGCCACTCTTCCACAGGAAAGTCTCTTTGCACATTTTACCAGTACAGTGGACCCTTGACCAACGATATTAATCCGTTCCTGAGAGCTCATCGTTAATCGAAATTATCGTTAGTCGAGTTAATTTTCCCCATAAGAAATAATGGAAATCAAATTAATCCGTGCAAGACACCCAGAAATATTGAAAAAAAAAAAATTTACCACATGAAATATTAATTTTAATACACACAAACTGAAGAAGACATGTACAATTACATGACACGTACCTTTATTGAAGATCTGGTGATGATTGATGGGATAGGAGGAGGGGAGACTGTGGATGGTGTTAGTGTTTAGAAGGGGAATCCCCTTCCATTAGGACTTGAGGTGTCAAGTCCTTTTCTGGGGTTACTTCCCTTCTTTTAATGCCACTAGGACCAGCTTGAGAGTCACTGGACCTCTGTCGCACAATATATCTGTCCATAGAGGCCTGTACCTCCCATTCCTTTATGACATTCCTAAAGTGTTTCACAACATTGTCAGTGTCACAATTAAACACTTGTTCAGGTTTCAATTCTTCACTGTCTATGTACTCCTTGAATTCCTGCACATATTTTTCAGCTGCTTTTTGGTCCAAACTGGCAGCCTCACCATGCCTTATCACACTATGTATGCCACTACGATTCTTAAATCTCTCAAACCAACCTTTGCTGGCCTTAAATTCACTCACATCACCACTAGTTGCAGGTATTTTTCTAATTAAATCCTCATGCAACTTCCTAGCCTTTTCACATATGATTGCTTGAGAGATGCTATCTCCTGCTATCTGTTTTTCGTTTATCCACACCAATAACAGTCTCTCAACATCTTCTATCACTTGCGATCTCAGTTTCGAAAACATAGTTGCACCTTTGGCAAGAACAGCTTCCTTGATTGCCATTTTCTTGGCCACAATAGTAGCTATGGTTGATTGGGGTTTTGTGTACAACCTGGCTAGCTCGGAGACACACACTCCACTTTCATACTTAGCAATGATCTCTTTCTTCATATCCATAGTAATTCTCACCCTTTTTGCTGTAGGGTTGGCACTAGAAGCTTTCTTGGGGCCCATGGTAACTTATTTTGCAGGTGCAATCACTAAAAACGCTGTGATAATATGAAATGTTCCGATTGTATGTTTGGATGGGACCGTGGTGGCTGGCTGGCTTGTAAACATTGGCCACAAGTGGACGCGTCTCAGACGGAACGAATCGTGTTGGTTGAGTTTTTAGCGCTAGTCGAGGCAAAATTTTGGCATTAAAATGTATCGCTAGTCGGATTTAACGTGAGACAATGCCATCATTGGTCGAGGGTTCACTGTACTCTCAACAATTCAGAAGTCGCTGGCAACAACGTTGGCCTGAGTCACAACACAAGTTTCTTTGCCCATCAGATTGTAGTTGCATTATTAAGCGGTTTCTTTCCAACTGTCAGATGTGGGAACTGTGTTTCCACAATTAGAAATTAGAGACATGCAACACTGCCAGGGCGAGCAATAATAATACAGTGGACCCCCGGTTATCGGCCGTAGTCCATTCCAGGTCAGCCAATAACTGAAATGGCCGATAACCAAATTAATATTTCCCATAAGAATTAATGGAAATACAATTAATCTGTTCCAAACAAAAAATATTCACAAAAAAAAAATAATTTTTTTAACAATTATACAAGTATTACATACTGGACAACAGTTTTGGTAATCCCGCACCTCCTCCTAACTTCTAAACTACGAATTCTCTGCATTATATTCACACCACACATTGCCCTCAGTGGAGATGTCATGTCTGAGGGCAATGTGTGGTGTGAGTATAATGCAGAGAATTCGTAGTTTGGAAATCAGGAGGAGGTGCGGGATTACCAAAACTGTTGTCCAGAGGGCTGAGGAAGGGTTGTTGAGGTGGTTCGGACATGTAGAGAGAATGGAGCGAAACAGAATGACTTCAAGAGTGTATCAGCCTGTAGTGGAAGGAAGGCGGGGTAGGGGTCGGCCTAGGAAAGGTTGGAGGGAGGGGGTAAAGGAGGTTTTGTGTGCGAGGGGCTTGGATTTCCAGCAGGCATGCGTGAGTGTGTTTGATAGGAGTGAATGGAGACAAATGGTTTTTAATACTTGACGTGCTGTTGGAGTGTGAGCAAAGTAACATTTATAAAGGGATTCAGGGAAACCGGCAGGCTGGACTTGAGTCCTGGAGATGGGAAGTACAGTGCCTGCACTCTGAAGGAGGGGTGTTAATGTTGCAGTTTAAAAACTGTAGTGTAAAGCACCCTTCTGGCAAGACAGTGATGGAGTGAATGATGGTGAAAGTTTTTCTTTTTCAGGCCACCCTGCCTTGGTGGGAATCGGCCAGTGTGTTAATAAAAACTAAAAAATACATACCTTTATTGAAGGCTAATGCTGGCTTCTGGAAGATAGGTAGGAGGAAAGAGGGAGGAGTTAGTGTTTCTAAGGGAAATCCCCCTCCATAAAGACTTCAGGTAGCAAAGCCCTCTCTAGGGTTACTTCCCTTCTCTGTCTCTTATTGCCACTAGAACAAGCTTGAGAGTCACTGGACCCCTGTCTCACAAAATAACTGTCCAGAGTGCTCTGTTTCTGGCATCTCTAAGATTTCCCTGAAGTGGGACAAGGTTTTGTCACTGAACATGTTGCAGATATGGATTGTTTCAGCTTTGTCAGGGTGGTATTTCTTTACAAAAGCTTGCACCCTAGTCCACATTACACAGACCTCTTCAATCTCTGAGGAAGGCACCTCCTTCACTCCCTCTTCCTCCTCTGAAGCAAGTTCCTCAGCTGCAGTCTGTTGCTATTCGAGATGAAGCTCTTAATAATAATAGTAATAATGTTTATTTCTTTGTAAAGGTTACAGTGTGCAATAACAATTTTGATTTGCCAAGAACAAAGATATGCCAAGGCATTTCGGGCAAACTAATCCTAATACATGTACATAGTAACTAATTAAAACTAGGTAAGATAATAGTACATAGTAATTATTACTTAAAAAATATGCATAGAATAGTGGTTAGCTGTTTTACAATCTTGTTTGGACTTAATAAATCTTATGTATACTTAGTTCAAAATCTAATTTACAAGGAATGGTGCAGGTGGTAATATTTTATGGAATGGCAGAATTAAAAGCCAGGAGGTCACATGATAAAACTAGCCAGTAGATGTTTGGTTGATTTGGTTAATATTGTGAGATATTGTGAGATATTTTGAGGAATTGTTAAATGTTGATGAAGATAGGGAAGCTGTGATTTCGTGTATAGGGCAAGGAGGAATAACATCTTGTAGGAGTGAGGAAGAGCCAGTTGTGAGTGTGGGGGAAGTTCGTGAGGCTGTAGGTAAAATGAAAGGGGGTAAGGCAGCCGGGATTGATGGGATAAAGATAGAAATGTTAAAAGCAGGTGGGGATATAGTTTTGGAGTG